CCACGGATAGCGCCCCCTGGCATGAGGGCGTGTAATGGGCCGTCTCCCGCATTTACCACCAGTTTATGGAACAATAAAGTCATGGCAGGAGAGACTGGGCAGATTGCCAAAGTGACAGGTGGGCGGGCCAGCATGAGGTCTGGCCCCAAGAGTTGCCCTCTGTCACAGGCCTGTTCTCTTGCCCTCTGATCATGCACGTGGCTCTCCTCTGAACTCTTTTGAGGTTCTCCACATCCTTCCTGAATTGTGAAGCCCAGACTTGGATGCAGTACTCCAGCTGCGAAAGTTAGTGTAGAAGAGAAGTATTTCTAGACACTGAAGCTCTAGATTTAGTCATGGTGATGTTCACTAATGATGCTGATAATTCAGAGAAGGGGCACATATTGACAAGTAATGGGTACATACAGCTTTTGGAGCAATATTGGCTGTAGTAAACTATGGACACTGGCTCTGCTGTCAGCTGAGCTGCAAGAAAGAGAACATAAGAACTGCCATTTACTGGGTGAGTCTACACAAGATGCTATATTGACATAGCAGTGAGCCACAGTGGTTACTGTGCAGTCATTTAGTACTTACTTTAGCAAGTAAGTACTAAACAATTGCACAGTCGGGTGCATGTGTAAATGCACCCACTGGGTCAGACGATAGGTCTATCTTGGCCAGTCTCCTGTGTCGCACAGTAAACAAGATATGATCAGGGGTTTCCTCTGTTCGTCTCCTACAGCGTTTCAGGTCTAGGAAGTTCAGATCCAAGGGCTTAACCCCTAACTCCCAAGAGGATGAAAGAAGTATTAAAACAAGAGGAAGACTGGAAGGACTGCGATTATTGAGAGAAGGCTGAAGGGAGGATTTGATTGCAGTCTTCAAATACCTGAAGAGTGTTTATAAAGAGGACGGTGATTTACTATTCTGTGCCCACAGGGGACAGGATGAGAACAAACAGTGTTAAATTACAACATGGGAAATTTAGGTTGGGTATTAGAAAACTTTCAATGTATGAGTGATTAAGTATTGGATTTCTGTGTTCTGCAATCTTCATTTCTGGAAGTTTTAAAGTCCCCTGTTCTTTTAGTTGTGCTTCAGTAGTAAGTGTATGTAGATTTTTAGGCCCAAATCTGTACAGTATTATTGCAAAATCCACCACTGACCACTGATTTGTGTCACTGGAATTCATTTTGTGTTAGACAACCTGCAGCTTTAAAGGGGGCTGTTGGCTGCCGTAGGATGAAGGGATCTGCTGCTGCTGATGCCCCCAGCCAAGGTTCTGCATGGACCATAGTAACAGCATCACTTCTCCCCACCCTGCTTTTGGGGGCTGAACCTGGACTGGAGGAAGGCTGGGGGGCTGAATAGGCAAAATGCACGGCTAGAGAAGCCCCAGCCAGCCAGCAGTTTTAAAAGGGACTCTTAAAAGGACCAGCAGGGACAGAGACAGGATAAAGGGCTATGCTTTTTTCTTTTGGTTTTGTTCTTTGTTTTAATTGAACAATGTGTTTTCCTTGTGAGAAAGGGGATAATGAATAGGTTTTGGAGACAGCAATGGCACCTCTTTGAAAGAGTGGGGTATGGCTGGGAAGGGAAGCAGGGGAGTGGGACAATTCCCCTATATGTAAGGCAGGGGAGTAAGAATAGGTGGCTGGCTTGGGCTGGGGGGGCCCTCTTCTTGGTCAGAAGCAGAGAGCAGGCAGGGGGGTGGAGTGGGATAAATTGTTTTTTTTTTCCTTGGGGCGAGAGGCTTGTCATTATATAAATCTATAAAAAAAGTAATCTTTTGTTTCAAAGGTTTAATAGGGAAACAATAGGAAAAACCATACACAATAGATTGCTTAGCAGTCACAGGACACTTTTCATCCTCACAAAGGATACTAGATAAAACCTTCAAGAGAATCTTGAATTTTAGCCTTGTTTGTTCCCAATCACTGGTGATCATGCCGGGTACTTAAGTCCAATAATAAGTTCAAGTAGCATATCCATGGATGGTGTAAGTTAGACCAACAACTCTGAAGTCTGCAGAAATATGCAGAGGCTCTGCCTTAACTGGCTTGATTAAAACACGTACCTACTTCAGAACGACCTGGGGTCTGTGGCTCCTGTCTGTGGATGGAGTTTTACTTAGGAAATGGCAACTTTTAGGGCCATATTTTTCAAGCAGCAATGTCCAACTTCTAAGCCTCTGGGGGCCACACTGGGTGAGCCATAGGTCACTGGGCCACAGGCTGCATGGACGGTGCCCTCCCCACCCCACTCCATATTGGCACCCGCCTCTCTCCACTACTGCGCCGTGTGCCCCCCCTTCCCACTGCTGTACCCCAGGCCATCTCTCCTCCATACCCATGTGGTCACAATACCCCTCTGCTCTCCTGGACTTATTTGGAGCTGTCTGTGCCTTGCCACAGTGCCCCACTCCTTGGGGCGAGGGCAGGAAGTGGCATTCAGAAAAGGAAAGGAGAGCCCCGAGTAATGTGGGGACATGTGCCCAGGTGAGAGGCTGAGGAGCCACATCGTACCCCCACATCGTACACCTTCTCAGGCCGCATGAGTCCTGCTGACTCCCAGTTGGACAGCCCTGTTTTTAGAGTAAGATATGTAGAAGTGCATACGTCAATTGGCTTCCCTTAAATTAATGTACCCAAAAATCGCTGTATGTGTGTAAATCATGTCTTCACTAACTCACCTCTTCAGCGGGGGTATGCGAACTTGGCTGTATTGAAAGCAGTGGAGTTTTGCTGATTTATGCAGACCAGTGTCCAGTGTCTTTGGATAGCGGTTTATGTGGGTGAATGAATACGGGAGGTTTGCATGAATATCAGATGCTTGAATGCACAAGTAAGCTAAGCCCGAGAGCTTTTTCTTCTGTAAAATCTATAATTTAATAGATTATTACTCTGCCATCTTTAAAGACTGCATATGCCAAGCAGCAGAAAATTAAATAAATGTTTGCCATTAATACAAATTATTGTGTTTTGACAGCTTGCTAATCAACTAAAGGAAAAATGGTGTTATAGGAATACATACAATTACAATTTAAGCAACTCTTTTTTCTAGGTGGGTGAAGATTCACGTAATTAAAATGTGTCCCTTTGAGAACCTTGTAAGTTTTGCCATCTGTAATACATTAACGTTTAGAAGTGTCAGACTAATACAGCTTTATCTAAGCTTTCTTCATGAAGGGGAATGGATTGGCACAGAATCGTATATCCGTGGCTAATCTTAGTGGATATTTGACCATCACATACCAGTTGTAGAAGTCATTTGCAGTGCAGACTGTCTTAATTAATTAATGTTCAAGTGATAGATTTAGTATTGAGTAGATTTTGACATCTTGTTATGTACTTCACACATTATACAGGTATGGGCTGCTTCTGGGGAGCTGAGAAGACATTTTGGAGGCAAAAAGGAGTCTACTCAACTCAAGTGGGTTATGCTGGGGGATATACCTTGAATCCTTCCTATGAAGAAGTCTGTGCAGGTATGGCTGTGTTCTTCGACTTTACAGAACATGGGCATGATCCTGTGAGATACTGAGCTATGTCAGTGTGAGCTGAAGCTGGTCAGAACGTCTCAGACCTGGGCCCATAAAAAATGACTGTTACTTAATGTACTAATTCTCAATAAGTGGGGTTGGAGTGTTGTAGCTGTAATGGTCCAGAAAATATGTAAGAAGCAAGGTTTTTTGGGCTAGAGACAGACTTTACACATAAACCGGTTTAAGTGATCAGAAACTGGTTTAAACCTGTAACAGAGCAAATGTTCACTAGTGCACATAAACCAGCTTGAAAACGTCTGAAGCCAGTTTGAGATAACCCTGGTTGAACATAGTATCAGACTAAACTGATTTGGGTCAACTGGTTTGTGCAATGTCTGACCCAGACCCCTTGCTGGTTTAAATTAAATCAGGCTTCCCCAGCATCCTGGCATGCTCTCTGGGCTGGGAGGGGCTCTGTGCTCCACAGCAGGGCTGGCCCCTGCCCTCTGCTCCTTGGCTGCATCTCCGGCAGAGACTTGCAGGCACAGCAACGTCTGCCTGGTTTCCTCCTGCTTTCCCCCTCCCCTCCCCACTCCCTGCTAAGCAGGGATCCCCCATCCTCTCTGCCCTACACAGATACCTCAGCATTAACTAGCAGACCACATGCTGGCTACAGTCCATGCTGTGGCAGACCACAGTGTCAGCTTAGGGCTTTTTGGAGCTAATCAAAGCTCAGCTGGTAATGTCCCCACCAGCCCTTCTTTGTTTAAGAAGAGTTTGAACTAATGAGAGAGGCTGTTTGTTTTCTGATGGGGTTATGAATACTGATAAATGCTCTGTTTGGGGGAGGGGGGCACCCTAATTCTGCTTGGGCCTGGCCATGCCCCCTCAGCTAAGCAGTGTGGCAGGGAAGGGAGGGCTGCTCTAGGGCCCCCTGGCTTCAAGCCTGAGCCACTTCAGACCTGTGCCTGCATTTCTGGGATGTCTGTACAGTTACAAAGTGATTCAGCCTAGTCAGGTTAGACTAGCCTGCAAAGATTGAATCAACTCAAGCTCAAGCTTTTTGAATGTCTGTCCCTAGCCTTGGTGATGTCTTTCGTTGGACCAGCTGTACAGACAAGGTATGGTAGACATGATTTTGGGCACAAGTCCCCTTCTTCAGATTTGGGAAAGAAGCAAGTACCCCAGAGCTGAAGAAGGACACTTGTGCCCAAAAGCTTGTTTAACATCTCTGCCAGCTATACAGTTGGTCTGATGAAAGAGATCACCAAAAAGACCCTTGCTTTTCAAAAAGACATTCTTAATGAAATTAGCAGCCCCTTTTATCTAAACAGCTCATGCTCAACAAAGAGTCTGATGACGGAAAAGATAACTGTCAGATTTCGAGCATTTTCCTTTGCCTACTGTTTGTTGCTGTATCGTTTCAGGAAATGTCTTCCGTGGCAACTACTGTACATTTCTTCTTTGGAAAATGACAACATACAGTTAAAAGAAATCCCTTAATACTGACAGAAGTGTGGAGTCAGATCCTCTGCCCCTAGTATGTCTTGTAGTGATACCTTACATTTAATCTCTTTCAAATTATTATTGACATTTTATTTTATTTTATTTTCAACCTTCTTTACCACCCCAGAGCACCCAACATCTTTCAACTATTTCTTCCCATGATCCAGATCATATAATTCTTTCCAGCCATTTTATACTAATGAGTAGTGTTGTTAAATCATATTTTTGCTCATCAACGCAGTCGGCAGTGGATCGAGGCAGATCCAGAGTGGGTTCGGTGATTGGGTTGCACCCCGCTTTGTCTCTTGGCACAGGGTCTGGCTGAAGCCCCGGCTCTTGTGCATCCCTGGAGCCCAGGGACTAAGTATTGCTGCTGCCACTGGGCCCCTCCTTTCCCCTGCTCCTGAATTCAGTTGGGGGAGGGCAAACAACAGCAGTGTTCACCCGTTTGGCTCCAGAGCCATGGGGAGGCAGGAGCTCTAGCCAGCCCCTGCCCTGTCAGCTGGTTAGCTCAGCGCTCACTGCTCACAAGGAGCTCTGGCAGCAGCACAGGGCTCACTGCAGATACATAGCATGGCCAAAGGAGGGGGGGGGGGCGTGAATCTCCCCCCCCCCCTTACCCCATTCCTGGATCCATTACGGGTAGAGAACAACAGATTTAGGTTTTACTTTGCCTTTGTTCTCTTGACAACATGCTTCATGCCAACTGCCAAGCTTGCTCTACCACTTTTAGTTACGACCTGGCACTTACCAATGACAGAAAACAGTACAGAAAGTCTAGCAGCCCTAACAGCTAATAGATACCACATCAGATGCAGAGAATTGCCACGAGATGCCAGAACAGGAAAGAGGAACTGTCTGAACATAAACAGAAAGGAGGTGTTAAGTATCTTTTTAAGCAAAAATGTAACACGTATAGGAAAATAATCATAAAATAACTATTACAGGAAGCTAATTTACATAATCACAGAGGTGAGTTCTCAGCAGTGACTATTAGCAGCAAAAATGCTCCTGAATGTAATACTAAGTGTAAAAGAAATGAGAAAAAGAATCAAGCTAGAATACTGGAAAAGGACACGGTGACCTTGGCTTTAACTAATACAGTGCTGCCAACTTTTTTGGCAGGCATGCCACAAACTAAGCCCCATACCCTCCCTCAGTGCCTCTCCAATTGCCTTCCCTCGCCCTATCTTCTGCTCTGTTTTCTGCTCCCTGCCCTGTGCTCCTTGCCTGGTCTGTTGCTTTTCTTTCTGCTCCCTTCCCTCTCTGACACTGTGCTGCCTGCCCCCTCCCCAGTCTGCCGTGTGCCACACACCGAAGATGCCCATACCTCTGATGGCACCCCTGCCACAGATTGGCTACCCCTGAACTACTGCATCAACACCTGCAGGCTGATGGAGAGCACAGCAATAAGGAGAGCCATCACATGTTATGAAAATGGTTCAGTGGATCAGTCACATCCTTCTCATTTGTTTAAATCACTATTTCCTTTCTCTCTGAAAGCTTAATCTGACATCTGTTACATGCCTGGCTCTGATTCCACACTCCCTCATCCCATGCATAGTTTTTATGACTCTGCATAGTCCCATATCCATCTGATGCTGTCAGTCCATTCTGTTCAATGTACTCAGCATTAGCTTATGAAAGGCCTAAAATGTTGGGGTTTTTTTTTTACCAGTTTTGCTCATCTCCCCATTCCCAGCACACACAGGATTATGATATATAAAGGAATATGGTGGAAGAATTTTGAGGGTTCTTTTAGAAAGGCTGAGTACTGGTCAGGGGAGATGTGAACAGAGGATGAGCAGTGAAAAAGGATTCAAGTAAGAACAATTTGTGTGGGCATCTAATGGATTTGGAACTGCTTTTCACACCACAAGCGCATGTTCAGACGAGCACAGACATTTGGTTCCCCGGGGACAAATAGCCGCAGCTACTTGTCCCCCGGGAACGCCTGTGCCACGCATGCTTTGGTGCATGGCAGGTTACTTCGGGGGCAATAGGGGAGGCTGGGACTAGCACTTTGCTGGTCCCAGAAGCCTTACCTGGGGTTCTGGGGGCTTCCTGGGGCTGCAGCCACTGCAGTCCTGTCGGGTGTAGCCTGGCTACCAGCTGCTGCCCCGTTTTGTTTTTTTTCACATGGGTTTTTTTGGCCCCTGGGGGTGCTTCCAGATGAGCCCGCACGTGCCTCTTGCAGTGTCTGAAAGCCTTTTGAGATGCTGCAAGAGGCACGTGCGAGAACGAAAAAATGTTCCCTGTGCTGCAAATTTGCAGCACGGGGGCAAAATTAGACCTCTGGATATCCAGGGGTCAAAAAAACCTGCAGAAGAAACCCCAAAATGGAGCAGTGCGCACATGGGCAGTGCTCCCTTGCAGTGCAGAGAATGCCAGGTTGTGCGGTATGTGGTGCTGCAAACACGCTCATACGGATACACCCCAGTGCTCGAATCTTCTTTCTAGATCTTTGTCTGGTTGAATACCTTGGTGAGCCAAGCTGGCCTATAGATTTGGTGTGAGATGGGGAGCATTTGGGGATCACGGTTTCTCTTACTGAGGTTAGCAGTTGACTGTATTAATTGATCACTTTGTTAACACCTTAATCCAGGGGTGGGCAAAATGCGGCCCGCGGGCCAAATGCAGCCCGCCAGGCCATTCTATCTGGCCCACAGGGCCCCTAAAAAAATTAGAAAATTCATATATATCTGCCCCTGGCTGCCTGGCATGTTGCCCTTGATGGCTTGCCAAAACTCAGTAAGTGGCCCTCCACCTGAAATAATTGCCCGCCCCTGCCTTAATCAGATGTATAAAGCTCAGCCCAAGAGCACTTTGGAAGTTCACTGGATTCATCAACCTTCAAGGGCAAACTTGGGTAGTTGTTTCACCCCTCAGGGAAGAAGGTAGGAAAGTCGTGCTTTCTGCTTGTATGAGGTCAGGGTCAAACCAGTGTCATCCTATACAGAAGTATGAATGGTTTCTACGAGACCCTCCTATCAATCGATATGATATTGCCTTGTTAAACTGCTGTTTGGAAGTGAAGCTTATGAATAGACTGATAGAAAATAATTTTTACATTTTATAGTAACTACTGCTTGCTGAAAATATGAAAAGGGATTTTGGAGTGCATAAGCACTCTGAGCTATTTTCAGTGCATTGGACTAACACATAAATACACCATTTTTGGCAAGCATTAAACAACACAGGATGTTCATTCACTATGAAATATCTTCTCATATTTTGCTTACAGATGTTCAGAACAATTCTGTGTTTATCAGTATATTCATAAGCATTTGAAATCTGCATAGCTCAAGTGGCATGGAAATCAGAGGGGGGAAAAAACTACCCTGTTGTTATTCATAAACTGGTTGTATGCAATTACCATATAAAATTTGAAGCCAGAGACCATTTTCTTAAAAACAGGACTGTTGTTAGACTTTTGATTCACTGTGAACATCTAAGCAGTTCATTTCATTCTATAAAGCGTATGTTAGTTAAAATGG